AAAATTTGAAAAACCTAGGTTCTACCCAAAACACCCAATTTCCCCCATGAAAACCCTTGATTTTGAGTTGAAATCATGTGAAAAGATGTTAAAGATTGAAGAAAACGAGTTAGAAATGACTTACAATCGATTTGGAGAAGAACCTTTCTTTGGAAAATCGCCCAAGAGAGTTTATGTTTTGAAAGAGTTTGAAAAATGAAAGATTTTTGGCTAAGCTATGAATTTGCAGGTCGCAGATGTCGCAATTGCGAACCCTTCAGAAGACTGTCATCTTCGCATTTGCGAAGATTTTCATCGCATTTGTGACCATCCCATATTTCTGAGGGGTTCACATTTGCGAGGAAGACGTCGCATTTGCGACTTGGGTCTTTCGCATTTGCGACCAAATGATCGCATTTGTAATCAGGCATGCCGAGGCCTTCTTTCGTATTTGCGATACTTTATTCGCATTTGCGAGCCAGGCTTCGCAAGCCTACAGACCTGCAACATACCAGAAATTTCTAAGTGTAAATTTCACTTCGTAGCCTATCCAAAACTCACCCGAGCCCTCGGGACTCCAAATCAAACATGCACACCAACCTAAAATCCTCAAAATAACATCAATAACTATGAATTTACCACCAAAATCAAAGGAAATCTCATGAACTTTTCAAAGTTTCAAATTTTACAACTAAGGTTCTGAATCACGTCATTTCAAGTCCATTTCTTATCAAATTTTACAGGCTCAACTTAAATCATATATAAGATCTGTACCAGGCTCCGGAACCAAAATACGGGCCCGATACCATTAATTTCAAACATATTTAATTTCCAAAAACTCATCTATATTCCAGAAAATAATTTTCTAGAAAAATTCATTTCTCGGGCTTGGGACCTCGGAGTTCGATTTGGGGCATACGCCCAAGTCCCATATTTTCCTACGGACCCTCCGGGATCATCAAATCACGGGTCCGGGTCCGTTTATCCAAAATGTTGATCGAAGTCAACCTAAATTTATTTTAAATACAAAATTCATCATTTTCCACAGATTTTTACATAATGGCTTTCCGGATACATGCCCGGACTGTGCACACAAATCAAGGTGAGACAAAAAGGAGGTTTTAAGGCCTCGGAACATGGAATTTATTTCTAAAATAAGTGATGACCTTTTGGGTCATCACAGAGTTACCCTAGGTAACATTTGGCTGCTATAGAAATAAAGTTTTAGAAAAATATGCATGCATTTGATAAATGTAGTTATTTAAAACATAGTAGTATGCAATATCAAGTAAATTAGATGAACCAATGACTGTGACACTCTTAGAGACATTGCGACTTCTTTGCTTTAGAATTTTGAGGGTCCACCTCAAAATTCTGGCCCATTTTAATAAGTGATTCTTTGCCTATTCTTCGTATGATGAAATTGGCTGGACTTGCTCCGGAAATTTGAGGGTCCTCCTCATAATTTTGCCCCAGTCTCTGACCATGGGAAAAATGAAGATTTTATTAAGATGTGACTGAACCCGTAGGGCTACCTATGTATCCCCTCTTAAATGGGAATCAGGTTAAGCGTAGTGCAGTTACATCAAATGAAGAAATGTAAACAATCTAAACATAGTATCTCTTGACTAAGTCTGAATTGATAGGCTTTGGCAAATTTCTCCGTCCATTTCTGCATGTATGAGCACTCCTCTTGTTAGTACTCGATGAACCATGTAAGGACCTTGCCAGTTGGGTGAAAACTTCCTTTGGCTTCATCCTGATGTGGAAAGATTCACTTCAGCACCAGCTACCCCGGTGTGAACTGTCTGGGTCTGACCTTTTTGTTGAAAGCTCTGGACATTCTGTTTTGTTAAAGTTGACCATGGAATACCGCATTCATTCTTTTCCCGTCAATAAAAGCTAATTGTTCGTAGCGACTTCTTATCCATTATGCATCACTGAATTCAGATTCTTGTGTATAATTCTTAAGGAAGGATTTTCGACCTCAACAGGAATGACAGCTTCAGTATCGTAGATCAACATGTAGGGAGTTGCTCCGGTTGATGTGCGGACTATGGTACGATACCCCAATAAGGCAAATGGTAATTTCTCGTGTCATTGCTTGTGGTTATCTACCATCTTTCTCAATATTTTATTAATATTCTTGTTTGCAGCCTCTACGACTCTATTCATTTGAGGCCCGTATACTGTGGAATTCTTATTCTTGATTTTTGAAGGTTTTACACATGGCCTTCATTAAGTCACTGTTGAGGTTGCTGGCGTTGTCGGTGATGATGGATTCTGGTACCCCGAATCGACAAATGATACGGTCCCTGACAAAATCTGCGACGACTTTCTTGGTTACAGCCTTGTAAGATGCAACCTCAACCTATTTTGTGAAGTACTCTATGGTCATTAAAATGAAACTATGTCCATTTGAAGTGGCGGGCTCGATTGGGCCGATGACATCCATTCCCCAAGTGGCAAAATGCCAAGGTGTGCTTGTTGCATTGAGTTCATTTGGTGGCACCCGTATCATATCTGCATGTATTTGGAATTGATGACAATTTTGGACATACCTGATGCAGTCTGTTTCCATAGTCATCCAAAAATATCCTGCCCTCAATATCTTCTTAGCTAAGACGAAACCGTTCATGTGCGGTCTGCATGTTCCAGCATGTATCTCTTTGAGCAGTTTGGAAGCTTCATTGGCATCAACGCACCGTAATAATCCTAGGTTTGGAGTATTTTTATAAAATCCCTCCACTTTGGAAGAAATGGTCGGATAATCTTCGGAGTGTGAGTTTCTGAGTATGATTTGCATGCTCCGGATATTCTTCTTTTGCCAAGTATTCCTTGATATCATGGAACCACGGATTCCCATCTGTTTCTTCTTCAATGTGAGCGCAATAAGCTGGATGATTATGGATTTTTACTGGAATAGGGTCGATGAAATTCTTGTCCGGGTGCTGTATCATGGAGGACAAAGTGGCCAATGCATTTGCGAACTCGTTCTGGATTCTCGGAATATGTTTGAATTCGATCTTTTCAAATCTTTTCATCAACTCTTGCACATGATACATATACGGTAGTATTTTGGTATTATTTGTAGCCCACTCTTCTAGAACCTGATATACCGGAAGGTCTGACTAACCAATTACCAGCAATACCTAGATATTTATGTCAATGGCCAAATTAAGCCCCAAGATGCAAGCCTCGTATTCTACCATATTGTTGGTGCACGGAAACCTGAGTTTCATGGATACCGGATAACGTTGACCTGTCTCTAACACCAAAATAGCGCTAATGCCCACTCCTTTGAAGTTCACGGCCCCATAGAAGAACATCCTCCAACCGTCATAAGTTTTGGTGATATCTTTTCCTACAAATGATACTTCTTCGTCGGGAAAATACATTTTCAGTGGTTCGTATTCTCCTCCTACAGGATTTTCTGCAAGATGATCTTCTAATGCCTGTCCTTTGACTGCTTTCGGAGTTACATAAAAATATTAAATTCACTCAATACTATCTGCCATTTTGCTAGTTTCCCTGTAGGCGTGGGTTTATGAAAAATGTATTTCAGATGATCCATACTTGATATGAGATATGTAGTGTAGGCACAGAAGTAATGCCTCAATTTCTAAGCTATCTACGTCAGGGCACAGCAGATGTGTTCCAGCAAAGAATGTCGTGCTTCATAGGGTATGAACTTCTTACTCAGATAGTATATGGCCTGCTCTTTTCTCCCCATCTCGTTGTGTTGTCCCAAGACACAACCGAAAGCCCCATCCAGTACGAACAAATAAAGCAACAGAGGTCTCCCAGGTTCTGGCGGGACCAGGACCAGTGGTGTGGAAAAATATTCCTTGATTTTATCAAAAGCTTTTTGGCAGTCTTCAGTCCAACTTGTTGCGGCATCCTTCTTTAATATTTTGAAAATTGGCTCACAGATCACTGTCGATTGTGCTATGAAGCGGCTAATGTAATTGAGACGCCCCAAGAAACTCATCACATCTTTCTTGTTCTTTGGAGGTGGCAAATCCTGGGTAGCTTTGCCCTTTGACGGGTGTAGCTCTATTCCTCGGCGGCTGATGATGAATCCTAACAACTTCGCGGCAGAGACCCCAAAAGCACATTTTGCGAGGTTCTGTTTCAGATTATACCTTTAAAGCCGATCAAAGAACTTTCTCAAGTCCGCTATATGATCAGTGCCTTTATTGGATTTGATGATGACGTCGTCCATGTATACTTCTATCTTCTTGTGTATCATTTCGTAGAAAATGGTTGTCATGGCTCTCATATAAGTGGCCCCAACATTCTTCAGACCAAATGACATCATTTTATAGCAGTACACCCCCATGGTATAATAAAAGCTGTCTTTTCAGCATCTTCTTCATCCATCCATATCTGATGATATCCTGCGAAGCAATCCACAAACACTACAAGAAAAACGGCCTTTAAGGAAGGGAAATATGGTCCCTAAAGATCCAAATCTAGTCCTAATAAACCAATTGTGATGGAAAAAAGCTGGTCACCACTGGTCGCAATAGCTTCCGCCGCTAAAGGCCAATAGCGATGGGTTTAAAAAATTGGTCGTTAAATATTTTTAGAGACGGATAAAAAATCTAGTCATCAAAAACCTTTAGAGACTACATATCTCGTCCCAGTAGTCAATTAATATATTATTAAAATTATATATTTTCTCATCGTAAAAGAGTTTTAGCGACCACCTTTCTCCTCCCTATTAGACGATAAATATATTATGAAAAATATATATTTTTTGGTCGTCAACCCATTTTAGCGACCGGTCTTTAACTGGTCGTAACTTATCTTTTAGAGACGAGCAGCACTGGTCCCTATTTAAAATACTTTTAATAACTTTAACGATCGTATTTCCAATCTCGATCTTATTGACCACAAGTATTCCTAAAGCTAGATATCACAAAAAAGATATTTTATTAATAAATATAAAATTGCTATTGAAAAGTCTAGATATAAAAAGTTAATAAAGTTATTAATTGCAATGTTAACATCCCGTGATATTAGTTTTAATATTTGCTCGACACCTTAACAAAAAACTTAACTAACATCCTGAGCCAGACTATGATATCAAGTTTTACAAAACATTCTTAGCAAAATAATAATGAGTTTGTGTATCTTCCAAACTTGCATCTTGACTTGTAGCTTCAATCTTCAAAACCTGTAAATATAAAATTTTGAAAAGACGATGAATAACTATTGGTAAAACAATGTATATGTTAATTTACAATAGTAATAGTTAAGCCGCTTACCCCAAAAGGAGTCAAAATTCATCATGTGTTTTCCAGCAATATCAACAAGGCTACAGGAATATAGAAAATTAATTAGAAAAAATTTGGAACGATAAAATCAAACTTCGGTCAGATTGACCAGTGTCTATACATAGTCCTTTTTTTCTCTCTTATCATTCACAAATTATCCAACATATCTGTCAGATTCAGAGTCATAGTCACCACTCCACTCAAGGAACAAGCCTTAGAATGTATACTTGAAACACAAGCTGTGGGAGTAAATTTATACTTGTCAGGAACTAAGAGAGTCGAACTCCATTTACATAAATCAATGATAACATGTTGACTAATTAAATCTAAGAACAATTACAAATATAAGGAGAAAGATCAGAACACTACTGCTGAGATAGTGATAATGATCTATTATGGACAAAGCAAAGATCAACATGAATGTTTGGTCGGAAGGAATGGTGATAATGATCTATTATTACCTACTGCTGACATGAACAAGGTGGAAAATTTACAAGGAGATGCAAAGGATCTATTATACAGCTACTACTGGTTCTTTGAATGTTGCTACTGATCGAGCTGCTACTTCAAACAAGATTGTGCAGCCTATGGATGGTGTTTCACAGGTTGTGAATGCAAGTTTGGAGACTGCTAGTGCTGTGAATGGAACAGGAGTGAATGTTACAGTTGCTACAAGTGATAAGGCAGGGATCAAGGATGCTAAGCTGCCTACAAATTTGTTTGAGAATCAGGCTACTGCTGGTATTCAAGCAACTCGTTTGAATGCACATGCGGATCGTGTTGCTTCTAGGTTTGGTGCTACTGATTGTGCTACTAAAGGTGCAAATATTAAAGGTGATACTGGATTTCATGACAAGGGAGATGATCGTGAAGTACTACAAATATCCAGGAGTAATTGTGAAGCTACTGGGAATGCTGGTGGATTAAAGAATGTGGCTAAGGTTTGGTCAGTTGTATCACCTAGCAAAAGAGCTGCTACAGATCATAAAAAACAGGAATTTTCAGCAACAAATATTAGGTGTACTAATTCTTTGGATGCCTTGGTCATTGAACAGGAAGATGGCGAGAATGATGCTCGCTAGAATAGCAGTGTTGTGTGCAAGTGCACAAGCTGGTCCCGAGACCATTGCTACAAAAAATAAAAACATTGATGCAGGCATGCCCACTTCTTGAGGATATTTTAACATTACTGCTTTAAGTTTATGATACTTAGTTGCAGTAAAAGATAGATGTACCTAAACAGATAAATAAAAGAAAGTTTGTACACTTCCAATAGATGTTCAATGACATTCATTACCATAGCAAGAAAGAAGACATAGTAAAAGTGATCTGAGTAGTTCTTATATTCCAATTCCTTAAAATTCCGCCACATGATACAACAGTTTATCAATCATTTTCTGCACCATGTCCTAACCTATCCCTAATTGATAAAATAAAACTCAAGAAAGTCCCCAAATAAAGGACAAGAAAAAGGATCCAAAAGAATTAGAAAAAGTTTTAGTACTTCATCAGTTTCTGGAGATAACATATACATATTACACTTGAGGAACTTTTTCTTAGAGTTTCACCAGCTACTTAGTAAATTTATAGGATATCTAAAGAATTTGATAACTTTTTTTTATTATTATTATTATAGAGAATTTGATAATTTTCTCTGCCTCCTAGAAATATTTGAAACTAAAAAAGAACTTGATATTTTTCCTTAAGTTGTCCTAGCAATGCTTACATAGTCACCACGAAGAAATAATAAAACATCGACTTTAGAATGAGATTATGGCATCTAATTTCTTTTTCTACTCGGAAATCTGGAAAAAAAAATCAGAATATCAAATAAGGTTAATTTAGCACTAAAATTTAAGGTTGTCACTACTGCAAAGTTGTTTTTCTTAATTTCCAAATACAATCATCTCATGGTTGATATAAAACCATTTAGGAAAAAAACTTCTCTACTTCCACAGTATTGGAAAAGGCAAGTCTCTTCAACTTAATATTACTTCGAATATATAACATTTAGTAACATAATGTTCATCATATCAGAGAATACAATATCTTCTATTGGGTGAATAGTAACTAATTGTTTGGTTTATTTAATTTTCCGTCCATCTACCAAAAATTGCTTGCTTATAGGACAGAATGCAGGACATTGCAACTAGAAGGAAGTAAATGTTAAATGGCTTTGACCCACATTTAAGTTGTTCTAGCCACTGAATTTGGAGGTCTATTGGAGATGCTCCCCACAAATAATAAGTGGCCCCACGAAACTTGTAAGCATATGTTCCGCCAGATGATAAACTACAAATTGACCAAACAATTCTAGCAGCAAGAAGGGAACAATGGCATATGCAGTAGACAAATCATATCCTGAGGCTCATTTTACTCCGGTTCAGAACAATGGCATATGCAGTAGTAATTTCATGTGTAAAAGTGCAGTTAGACTCACACATATAATTGACTGATATAACAAAATACCTTCAACAAACATAACTAATCAACTAAATTAACAATTTGACATTTATCACAACATAGCCACATTTCACAGTAATATACTTTCCAGTGTCATCACGCTTAAAATGCACAGGCATACTCTTAACTACATTTGTTACCTCAATAGCTGCCCACATGTGATTCAACTTTTCTTGCTTAATATCATTCCACGATGATACTCCCAAAGGACATATATTGTTTAATATCATTACACGATTAAGTAGGCTTCATCAAGCCGATTGTCAACAAGTTACATCCATTGCTTACTAGGTGCCATAACCTTCGAGAGTAGATAAAAATTAGATTAAAAAAAGATAAATGACAAGGAAAATACTAAGATGAATACAACTTATAACGATTAGATGCACACAATTGTGTTGAACTCTAAGGTCGCAATAGGTGATTAGGCTCTTTTTTCCAGTTAATGTTTTGTAATGTGCAATCAAATGGCACTAAGATAAATAAAAGATTATAAATCAACTTGTAATTAAGATGGTAGTTCCTGAAACATGTATACATGGTTCCTTCTGGCCTTCCCCGAGATCGAAGTAAGTACTTAAACACAAAATGCAAATAATATAATTTGCGACACAAGATCATAAAAAATATCGGTTGCGACTAAAAATACTGTTTGTTAGTAATTGGTGTGAGATCGTGAATTTCTCTGAACTATTGCTCATGTTATGAAAAAGACAAAATATGAAACTCTGACATCAAATTGAAAGAACTCGATACAAAATACCACTTCTCTTGCCAATTCACAGCTGATTCGGTAGCAATGAATTCAACAGATTTCATTATCACAAGCACATATCAAGAAATAGCTGGAAGGTAAGAATTGGAACTACGAAAGCAGAGAGCTAATAAGCTCATATATATTTCAACATCGCTCTTCCACTATCATCGAATACACACCACTACTTAGTAAGTGTATTTGCTCAAAAGTTTGCAAATTTATGGATCTCATTCTTGAATACTTCAACATATGCAGTAAAAACTTAGAACAAAATTATGAAACCTTTTACCAATTTAATGTTAGAGAAGAAGAAGAAGAAGAAGTCAAATATATCAAAGCAGTAAAGGGAATTCCAAACGAGTGACTCAGAAGAGCTAGGTTGAAAAAAAAAAGAAAAGGAGCAACTCAGAAGAGGAGGCATACCTGGATTCGCAAACGGTGTTTGAAAACTAGGGCAGGACTTCGATTCACAAATCAACAAATTCGTAACCTTTGCTTTGAGAAAACAAATTTTTTGAGAGATTGATAGAGGCAGAGGAGCTGCGCGCTATTGTGTTTTGAGACTAGGGCAGATCGATGAGTTTGTTTTGGAAAAACAGAGAGGAGTCTCTTTAGTTTTTGGAATTTTTAATTTTAGTAAATTAGTTGTGGCGCCTATTTTTTAGAAAATAACATTTTTAAATATTTTTGTATTATATTTGGCTCCATTCTCTCCCGCTCATAGCCTCTCAATTATAATTTGGGACCAGTTACTAATTTCTTTAGGGATCAGATTTAGTACCCCTCGCAATAAAATACATAATTAAGGACCACAATATAATTTCGGCGCAATACATATACTTTTAGAGACGGGATTATTAACTCGTCCCTATATGTTGGTCGCAGATAAGCTTTTTTTTTGTAGTGAAAGTATTGGAGTTCATGCTTGCCACAGTTGTCGATCAGTATGTGTATATTAGGTAATGGGAAATCATCTTTGGGACTTGCTCTGTTTAAATTCCGATAGTTGACACATACTCTGACCTTCCCATATTTCTTTGGAACTGGCACGATGTTAGCCAACCAGGTAGGATATTCAACCACTCTAAGAACTTTAGCTTTGATCTGCTTAGTGACTTCCTCTTTCATTTTCAGACTCATATCCGTCTTGAACTTTCTGAGTTTCCGCTTTACAGGTGGACACATCGGATTGGTAGGTAGTTTATGAGCCACTATAGATGTGCTCAAACCAGTCATATCATCATAAGACCATGCAAAAATATCCTCATACTCTTTCAGGAAACAAGTGTACTCTTCTTTCTCTGATGGTGATAGGTGAATGCTTATGCAAGTTTCCTTGACTATTTCGGAATATCCCAAATTGACTATCTTGGTTTTGTCCAAATTGGACTTAGGCTTGTTCTCAAAATTTTTCACTTCTCTCACAATTTCCTTAGGTATTATATCTTCTTCTTCTATTTCCTCTGAATCACTATTCTTATGTTGCGTTGTCTCATTACATGTCACATTTGTTGGTTCATCAGGATAAGTAATAATAATGATGTAGAGAAATGTAAAGGATAATAATGAATACTAAAATAGCAATGCATTAAATAAATCTTGAAAACATTAAAACAAGTACAGCTCGATGACTCGAGCAATTAATTCAAAACAAAGTACATCCAAAATAAAATACTAAAAATGTCTTAAATGATTAAAACTACTTTTAAAAATAGATCATGCTAATTGCCAGGCTACCCAGGAACTCGACGGGCCCGGGATAGTGTAGCAGTCCAGTTCTTTAGAACAACTCCTTTTCCCACGGTCTGAATTGTAAGGTCTTCATCCTCCTCCTCAACTGCTGCATTGCAATCCATGTCTTCATGGTGGTGACCAATTTTGATACTCTTGGCTGTTCAAGAGGGTAATAAGTACCACGCCATGGTGGCGGCCAATTCTGATACTCATGCCAGGTGTATTCATACCCAAGACCAAAAGTTGTGCTGTGATGCTTTAGTTGTATCAGTTTGGTGATTCCTTGGAGATTCTTGTTGAGACCCTTATTGGGTCCATACACTGTCCATAAAAATATGCTTTCAATCTTGTTACTCCACCATTTGTCTTTCTCAATTGCATTGACGCGCTCGATGTGATGGTATGTTTCTTCACCCAACTTCCTTCTATTCTCGACGACCGGAACAGTCTGATTGGTATAAATGGGATAGCTTCCTTCCCCGTAGATGATTACTTCCTGATGATTTCATTCGAACTTTACGACCTGGTGTTGAGTGGAGGCTACGGTCCCAGCAGCATGTATCCAAGGTCGTCCCAGCAGCAGATTGTATGTGGCAGATATATCAAATACTTGAAATTCAACATCAAACCAAGTCGGCCCCATCTGCAAACATTAGTTAATTTCCCCAATCGTAGCCTTTTGGGACCCATCGAATGCTTTCACGTTCATAGTTCTTGCTCGTATTTCATGAAAACCTTTACCCAATCTCTTCAAAGTAGTCGATGGACAAATGTTGAGGCTTGAACCCCATCTATCAGGACCCTAGCGATGAATTTATCCTCAAATTGCATTGTGATATGTAATGCCCTGTTGTGACTCAGTCCTTCTGGTGGTAGCTCGTCTTCGTGAAAAGTGATCTTGTGGATTTCCAACACTTGTCCTACCATGTTGGCCATTTCTCCACTAGTGATGTTATTGGGTACATAAGCTTCATTCCACACTTTCATCAATGCATTCCTATGCGCCTCAGAATTCTGTAGTAGTGATAGAATGGATATCTGAGCAGGGGTTTTGTTCAGATGATCAACCATAGAATACTCTCTTGCTTGCACCTTTCTCCAAAGATCATTTGGGCCAGTTTCAATGATAGGTGGCTTGGGAGCGAGTTTTTTGCTTGTTCCTCCTAAATGCTCGGGCGTGTAAACCCTACCATTTCTGATCATGCCTTGTGATGCACCGGTTTCTTCCATTTTACCCTTTCCTTTCCTTCTCGCTTATGCAGCATAGTCCCAAGGTATGGCATTGGACTTAAAAGACGGTGTGGGTGCTACTATCACGGTGAAGGGCGTGGTCACTTTCACCTCAAACGGAGTTGGCGTAGCTGAGGGAGTTGTTACTTTAACCTCAAACGAGGTTGGTGTGGTTACTTCAACCTTAATTGGTGACTGAATCTGCACCAAAACAGGTATGAGAGTGGCTGGAGGCATTTTAGGTTCATCCCTTCACGAATGAGTCCAATTGACCCTTCTGGATCCCATTCTTCATCAGTCTCTATCACATTTACCTCCGCGCCTCTGTGATCCAAGAGGGGATTGTTGCGGACATTAGGTGTAGCCTCTTTTGCTTGTATAACCTTGGCGTCAATTGATAACTTAGGATTTTTACGTGTTTATGCCCCTGCTTGCCTATGCTTTGAGTATAAATTGATACAAAATAGTTCCAAAATGCTCACAAGTTGTGCTTGATTGCAAGTTTGATTGACAAAGTGACGAAATGCCAAAGATCGGCTCAAAAAGGAGTGAAACCTGCTCAAGTATCAAAGACCAAGAGAAGTGAAGAAGAAAGGGCCTAGTGCGGACCGCGTAACAGTGACCACAGCCGCATTAGGAGGTTTAGAGACATGACATGTTCGGGCTTAAAGTCACACGACCGCGGTAGGATTTTTGTGGTCCGCGGTGAAGCTTCGCAGCCGCACTCCTGCTTTGTGCGGTCCACGTTCATAAGGTTCAGAGAAGGGCATTTTTGATCACGCGGTTCGCGGTCACGACTGCGCGGACCGCACCAGTTGCCATCGCGGCCGCGGTACATTTCCACGCAGTCCGCATCCCCCAATTTATGTCATCAAACAGTTGAAGTCCAAGAGCCAGTGCGGCTGCGGTCCATTTTATGCGGCCCGCACTGATCCCGCGGAGTTATTTTTGTCCAGTTTTTCTAGCCTAGTATAAATAGAACATTTTAAAATTTTTTAGGGGATCGATTTTTATCTGGGAACTGGAGACGATAGCTGCGCTTGGTGTTGTAGCCACTTTTGGCATATTTTGCTTCCTATTAACAATAGATTATTGTAGTTTCTTCTTAGTAATTAATTAATATGTTTAGTTCTTCATCTATTTCTTCAGTTTCTTCTTTAATTATGTGTATATAAACTCATTAGCTAGGGTTGTGGCTCAACCCTAGTGTGGGTAATTGATGGGTGTTGCCATCTAGGGTTAGATTGATATTGGGTGTTTGCTATTTGGGTTGATTTTATGTTTTCATTCAAGAGTTGGTGGTTGCAAACACTGATTCAAGCTTAGTGGGTTTAACTCTTCTTGAGAAAGAGAGTCTATGACCCCAAAATTGACCCAACAATGAATTGGGATGGACCCATGAGAAATGGTAGTCCCAATTAACGGGTTAAATCTCGAGAGAGTAATCACCCTACTTGAACCCTAGCTACTTGGTCTCATTGGCCTACCCATTTGGTCTCGAGAGAGTCAATTGGGTAAAATCACTTTCTCTACCAAGAAGTGTGAGAGTGGGTGCAATTGTGCAATGGTTATAGAATAATCCCCAAATATGTCAATCTATCCTTAGTAACATCTACCCGTCAGTTAGCCACCTAGGTGATGCCACGACCCTAGTGCTCTTCTTCCCATTAATTACAACTTAGCAATATTCTCCTAGCATACTATAGCTTTAACCCTTAGTTTTATAATAGTAGTTATAAATACAAAATCTCAAAAAATATTTGAAGTGACATTAGAAGCACAGCCGCAACTCTAGGCCAGATAGAAAATACAACTCCACTACTAGCTCCCTGTGAAAATTCGATCCCGGACCTCTATTCGGGTAAAAGCTATTGTGATCTGCTCTTCCTACCATAGAGTAGTGTCGGGTCGGCAGCGATCACTTTTTGGCGCCATTGCCGGGGAGCTTATGGTGTTGACTATCTATTTAGTTAGTTTTGTGTTTTGCTTCTCTTTCCTTCTTGTTTACTAATTTTGTTTGTGTCGATCCATCAGGTACAATGTCTCTTAATGCAAATGACCCTCTCGGCAATGTGATAGCGGGGGAAGAGGTAGAGGATCTAGAACAAGATGAGGTCTTACCTCAAGTTCTACGAAGAGGCCTAAATTCCAATGTAAATGCAAATGAGAACAACAATATTCCAGACCCTCCTCCGGCACCGCCGAGAGTGGCTCCCAAAGTTCTACCAAATCAAGGATATGCCAGTGCTATTGTTCTTCCCCGAATACGGGCGGGGAACATTCAAATCACAAATGTTATGTTGACCTTGCTCGAGCAAAGAGGGTATTTCACGGGTGCCTCCGATCAAAATGCCTACAAGTACTTGAAGGGGTTCGTGGATACATGATGGGTTAGCAAGCAGACAAACGTGTCCGAGGATGCGTTGAGATTGAGGCTTTTCCCGTTCTCTCTTCGGGGTAAAGCATTGGATTGGTTAGAAAGGCTCCCCAATCATTCTATTACAACATGGGATGAATTGGCGGACAAATTTATTTCCAAGTTCTTTTCTCCAAGTCATATGGCAGCCCTTCGGGATGAAATTCTAGCTTTCAAGCAAGAGCCAACAGAACCTTTGCACGAGATATGGGAAAGATATAGAACAA